CTCTTCTGATATTAGTACTATGTTTTTGAATGTTATAAATGAATAAGTCTCTATTTTCAACTGAAAACAAAGCTCAATTTTATCCCAATCCTGGATATATAAATTTTTCTACAAATATAAGCATACTCAAGCACATTAATTTACAGACAACCTAGAATATGAGATGGAGCTGTCAGTATGATGAAACCATGGAGTTAAGAGCTTGAGATTCAATTACTTTCTGAGCTAGAAGGTAAGGGGCAGGGGACAGTGCTCTGGAACCCCAGTTATCCCCATGGTAATTGCCCTACAAGTTCAGCTTGACCTAACTTTGATTTATTTTTTAAAAGCATTCCTATTCTTTTTTTATTTTTTTTTAAATTTTTTTAAGTAAGCTCCACACCCAATGTGGGGCTCGAACTCACGACCCCAAGATCAAGAGTTGCATGCTCTATGGACTGAGCCAGCCAGGCACCCCCTCAACCTAGCTATTAATACAGAGCTTTTGGGAGGAATACATCAGTAGTTCAAAAGGATAAGAATAAAGCAGCAGTTTCTGCAGCTGTGAAAATGGTGTGACTATGAACCAGAGGGCAGTGACGATGGTGGTGAACTAAACCTAGGTAGTGGAGCCTCATCCATGCATACCTTATCATTGTAAAACATTTGAGAAATTACTTCCGAATACTCAACTGTAACTGGTGCCTCAAATCATTCCCAATGCACTTATTCCCAAGTAGGAAGATGAGGAGAAGTGTTTCAGTAAGTGTTAACTTTGGAACAACCACCCAAATAAAGGATTACCCAAAATTATATCATTTATTTTTGGTTAATTTAACTTTTTAAACTTAAACTTCGTTATAACAGATTGGAGAAATATGGAATGAAATATGCGAAGAAATAAAATTAGAAAAGTTAAGACCAGTCAATACAGATAAAAAAATTTTGGAAGTTATTACAACAGCATCAGAAAATATTGGAAAGATGGTTGCTTCTCTTCAAAGCGAGATGATTGAAAGCCAAGCAAACCAAGATGTGCAAAATGAACAAAAAGTATATACAAAAGTAAGTCACATATACCATTAAGGCAGGAAATAATAATCTCAATAAACAAGCTTACCATAGGATATATTTGCCTTACCTCTGAATGTTTCAGCACTTAGAGTTATATTGTAGTTTTTCTTACAATTATTTTCAGTGTTTCTGTGCAATTTTTAAAGAAACCATGGAATTAACAGCCTGAGATTCAATTACTATATTCAGGACGGGTTTATGGCATTATGATTTGATTTCTGTAGGCTTACATTTTAAAAAGTAAACAGATACCTGGGGCTCCTGGGTGGCTCAGTCGGTTAAGCGACTGCCTTTGCCTCAGGTCATGATCCCGGGGTCCTGGGACTGAGCCCATGTCAGGCTCACTGCTCAGCGGGGAGCCTATTTCTCCCTCTCCCTCTGCCCCTCCCCTCTGCTAATGCTCTCTCTCTCAAATAAATAAATAAAATCTTAAAAAAAAGTTAACAGACACCTGAGACACATTTTTTGAAATGTCAGAGTTCCAAAAATTGTGGTCTATTTAAGTGTATATGTTTAGCAAATTCTATCTGACAGTGTTATCTCTGTGACTATATATGTATAACCTCACTGAGAAAGTTGACCCTCATCCCTCATTCTGTGATAGGTCCTTACTGGTATGCCAACCATAGGCATATTGATAAAAGCTTCAATCCTCACTTCAGTGCCATAAAACTTACAATGAATGTTCTATCTATAGATCCAGAGGTAAGCTGGTCTCTGACTTTAACTAATCAGGAAAAAGCCTGCCAGGAAAATATAAGCCATTTTCCTAAAGCTTTGTGTTCAGTCGGAAACTGAACACAACAGAAGTTTTTGAGCAAATGGGTCTTTAAGTGGCTCTAGCTTGTCCCCCAAATACAAAGACAATGCAGATTCCCCACTTCTGCTTGGTGACCCTTCATGATTACAATTAAAATTTTAAAACTCTTTAAGGTCGGGCGCCTGGGTGGCTCAGTTGGTTAAGCGACTGCCTTCGGCTCAGGTCATGATCCTGGAGTCCCTGGATCGAGTCCCGCATCGGGCTCCCTGCTCGGCAGGGAGCCTGCTTCTCCCTCTCCCACTCCCCGTTTGTGTTCCCTCTCTCGCTGTGTCTTTCTCTGTCAAATAAATAAATAAAATCTTTTAAATGATAATAATAATAAATAAATAAATAAATAAAATAAAACTCTTTAAGGTGATTTCCAAAGTGTTTTCTATTGCCTGATCTTTCACATCGTCTATTAAATGTTTATATCTACAGCCTAGTAGGAATTCTGTCTGCGTCCATCTGTGAATTCCACTCCATCTTAGACACCAATTTGCTTGAAACTTTTATTTAAGAGTTTTTATTGCATAGATGCTGCCATTTAAGTAATTTATTTGTTCTTAAGTGGGATAGCCCTATTGGAAGTTCTGCTGCCTCATTAGTTCTGTTGAATGGCAGAATGTCTGCTGTGTGGACGAGCTATTGTTGATTTGTTGGTTATCGTTGATTTGTTATCATGGCTTTGACCTCACTTATTTTTAAGCAGTTGTTTAATTAAATACTCTTAGGTTCATAATCTATATTTAATAACATATTATTTACTGACCAAGGGCATGTGTTCTCTGATTATATATTTAGAGAACTATATAGTCTTTGCAGTTTGTTAGTGGTTATCTCCCTAGACTGCATCACCACAACCAACTCAGCACTCTCACAAAACTGCTTATCTTAAACTGCTACAGTCATAAATTAGTAGTTTTACCAATATAACCTTCCGTAAAGTATTATCAGTGGCAGCAGGAATCTCTTTATTTTCTCCTGTGAATTTGCTGTTGGGTCATTTATATAGCTTGTTCTGGATTATAATCTGTCTTCACAAGTGATAATCACATAAAGCAATCAGTCTTGCTGAGAATGATTATTGTTATTTTTATATTTAATATTTTCATAACAACAGTTTTACTTAACATTTAATGAAAAGCAGTTCAAATCTTAGCCACATAATGCAGGAAGGATTTTACTCTAATTCTTTTGCTAGTCAGCCCTAAAATTAACATTGGTAAAATCTAGGTCTTCCTTCAAAATAAGGGCTTTAAAAACGCCCTTTGTTATCCTTTCATAGGAACTAGAACTCTTAATTATCTTTCTCATTTCAGATACAAGCCACACACAAGCAAAGAGAATTGGCTAATAAATCATGGGAAAATTTCTTGGCCAGAACATCAAACGCTAAAACTTTAAAGGTAGGATTTTTAAAATATTATGGTATCCACAACAAATAGACAATGCTGACAGGCAGATTTTTTCAGGAATAAATATTCAGTCACCTTTTCTCCTGACCTTTCTATAGAATACCAACACTGTTAGATCCTTATAAGCTATGTAGGGTGATAACTATGCATTTTTGTAGTTTCAGAAGATGCTACTTTGAGTTTTTTTGCTCTAGCAGTGGGGAGCAGGGGTGATATTCCTGGCTTGCCTAAAGGAGATGATGATTAGCCAGGAATAAGCAGGAGAAATGTGCTCCTACTTTCCACTTTGTGTCATTGATCATTTCTGTAAGAAGCAGAGTGAAGAACAGAAAAAACAACTGTCTGGGTTACCCTCTCCCCCAAGGGTATTTCCCCTCTGTGACCATCAAAAGAAACATTATATTAACACTTAAATGAGAACTGAGGATAAGCATCCCTTTGGGAAAAGGTGATAAGCTGCTTTAGGAATAAGCTGGAAACTCATCTAAAAATTTTATAATGTTGATTGTTCACTTGAAATATGTGAGAAGCACCATGTATTTTCAAAACCTCATTGCTTTTCCCACTCTTTCCACTAATACTTTGGATATGTTTTTATGTAATGTTACAATTCTTCGGCTAGATATGAAATTGTTGAATGTTAAATTAGTCCATGAAAACAGTGAAACCACATTAAGGTAGTGAAAGCAAAGTTAAGAACAAAAGCTCACTTGAGATACTGTGTCTCCCCCTTCTCACTAAAAATTCTTCCCAACTCTACTTAAAAAATATCCTCACAACTGCCTGTACTTTGAAGGAATAATTAATGAAAATCAGCCATTCCATGCAGATTGTTACCACAAATTTTACATGTTCTAGTGCCTCAACTACTGAGTTTGAACAAAAGTGCAACAAATTATACAATTTATATTACTCTGAAAATAATTAAGTGTTCTGAATTAGTATTTATGCAAAATATTTTGAAAACATGTGTCACCTGAGGTAAATTTAGTAATTTTATTAAATTATGTGCTAAAATGTGATTTCCATAGGACCTGCTTTATTCCTTGGTCATATATGAGTGATACCTCTGGAAATCTCAGTAATGTTCTCAGGTGACTGGTGTCTTCTGCAATGTATAAAAGATGTAACTTACTAATAACTATCTCCACAGCCTAAGTGAGTAAGTACAGGTTACAGTGCTACTTAATAAACAGTTCAAGTAGAAATCAGGCACAATTAAATGTACTTCACATACTTCATTGCAAGTATGATAGTTAATGTTTTAATAGTAATTCATATTACTTTCTTTCTAATTTAAAAATCTTCAGAAAGTAAAAAGACTTCAGGAAAAAGCTATAGAATCCTCTAGATATGGTGAGCATCCACCAAATGCAATATTTCACAGGACAGATATTAAAGGCCTTAACACAACGGTAAGTTTTTTTGTTTGTTTGTTTTGCTTCATAACTTTTCTTAGTAGATACTGAATTTAGTCTCCATAGAATGATATTTCCATGGGGGTTTTTCCTCATATTTTTTCTTTTCTTTGGTCAAATTTCACATAATTAAGCCATATTTATATCCAAGATACCTTTACTCTCACCCAGTACTGGTTTAGACCTGATCAGCCCTCCAGGATTCCCAAGAAACAGCTATAAGTTTGTATCTTTTCTAAAGTCAGCTGAAGGATGAATGGGTTTTTCTCTTATTGAAAAATTTTGTAAATGAACTCTTATATATACCTTTTGCTTTGTCAGGTGCCTTCTGGTCGGGTAGTAACAGTGGAAAGCACTCCTGCCCGATTACTGGGAGGACCTCTGGCTGATACAGATATTGCTCTTAAAAAATTGCCTATTCGAGGAGGAGCCCTACAAAAGGTGAAAGCAGTGAAAACTGTGAATGAGTCAAAGAAGAGTGTTCCTACATAAAATAATCTACAGACATTTTGAAAAAAAGTTTGCTTATAATTTTTTAGTTAAATATATCTTTATAAACAAAGCAAATAATTTAGTAAAATACTATGAAAAAATAAAAGCAAGCACGTAATTTATTTGTATTGAAAATATCTACATATAGCATCAGAAGAGTTGTCATTAATTTCTTTGGATAGATCACTAATTCTCTTAACTGAAATTGTAAAACATACTGTGTCAGTTCAACTCCTTTGGTTGCATGTGAACTACTCCATCTGGTTTAAGCCAATAAAAACTTTTATAGGCTCTGTAGCTATCAAATGTAGGAGTAATTAAGACTACAGGCATTGTTGGATGTAGGAATGAAACTCTGTGAGTAGGATCTTCTCCTTCCCTAGCAGTTCCTGGATTATATTCTCCCGAGTTGATACTCAGTAGAAAAGAATACATGCCTGTTTTTCAATAGTCTCTGCCACTGCCTCTGCATCTTGGGACCCTTGATTGGCCACATGCCCACTCCTGAGCCATTCACCATGACTTTGGCCAGATCTGAGTACTGCCTATTCCCAGAGCCAAAAGTAGGCCAACTCCAACCAAAATATATGGATGGAGTGGGGAATCAGGATATTGTTATCCTACGTATATATAAATACTGGGCAGCAAAAACATTTGCAACAAATTTGTTGGTCAAAGTAAAATAAGTTATCTCTGTTATAAAAAGTAAATGTTAGTCATCAGCTAAACAATAAAAATAAAAAATAAAAATATAGACGGTTTTACTCTTAATATATAAATATGCAAAGCAAACTCTAAAGCTACTACTTTTCTTCTTTAATGGGGAAGGGAAGGGGAGAGTGAGGAAATGTTTTCCCGCCTTTGGTGGTGAAGGTATTTTGCCAAAAAATAGGAGATAGATGCCTTAATGCTGGATGTAGAGCAAAGTGCCCCCGTATGCTATTAAAAGATTTCCATAGCCTGTCTCCATGCCCAGGAAGCCACAAAGTTGAGTTCATGTCCAGCACTGGGAGAGACAAGAACCTCTTTTCTTAAATTGGGAAATACACTGGAATTTGAGTCTAGATTCTAGGCCCATAGGCACATTCAGCAGTGTACTGGTAAATGTGTAACAAACAGCTCTTCAAGGGGAGAAGGCCCTAATTTGTAGCGTTTGCCAATTTGGATGGTGTAAATACTCCCACTGTGACCAATTACAAGCTACTAACATGATCCTACTGAATGCAAAGTTGGGAAGACCTGCATAAAATCTACTTTATCAAATAAGAGAGGGCTCCATCACCCCCTTGGGCTCACCTTCTCCTACTTCCTCCTTCATCCTCCTCTTCTTCCCCCAACTCACATTCCTCCAGGAATTTTCCATTATCCCCATCTGTGAAGTTAGTAGAATCTGTAATGAAGGGAGAAACTGCAACTGTTGTTAATGTTCTAATTAGAATGAGTTAATAGTACACCATTAGCCAGCAGCTTCTCATCCTGGCCCAACTGCCCATTCTTGTGGCCCATAGGAGTAGATAATGTACATCAGCTTACCAGGGACCTTTGCCTCTCCTGAATCTTTTCTCTGTTATCACCACCACCACCAAGATATTAGAAGGCATAATTTGTTCCTCTTCTTCACACAGGAAGCCTTAAGCACAAAGATTCCATCAAAGAGTAGTTACTGGGATACTGGGACAAGAATGGACATAGATAGGAACATGCAATGATGAGATGACCACACGAAAAGCACAGATATACCTCAAGTATATCAGATACAGAATCAAGACGAAGAGTCCATGGTTAAGAACAATAAATCTCTACCTCATTTTGTAGCCTATAAGCTCCTTTCTCAGATGCTAAGCTCCCTAAGGACAAGGTAGAAACCACGTTTCATTCATCATTGAAATAAGCACATCAGTAAATAAATTGCTAAATAAGTGTGATGGCGGCCTCAGCTCCTGGCAGCCTTTCGCTTGAGCTCTGCAAGGGCAGCAAAGTCCTGAGCTCAAAAGGAAGATTCATCCAATAAGATACTATACACGCAAGGCTAAACACAAACATTATTAAAGTAGTTCAAATGCATTTACTCCATAACGTGATAGACTTTCTCTAAAATGATGAGACAGAAATACTATTACATTAACCGATACTATTACGAAACCAACGTGTAGAAATAGAACTGATATCATTTGGTTGACTATAATTTCTGTATGTAGTACAACTTGGTATCTCCAAACTAATTAGGACTGACAACAATCAAAATAATCTGTGATATCTGTGGACCTTTCCCCCCCCTGCTGTGTAGACCTTACTCATCAGGAAGAGGAAAGGTAAAATAGGGCAGGTTGTTACCTAGCAGCAAATTTAACAGCTGAAGAAATGTAGGTGGATGAAGCGTAGTGTTGCTTAATCCAGATACTTGCCCTTGGTAGACAGACATGCATCGAGCTTGCAGATTACAATTCCAGCCACCCTTGCAGTGAACAAGTGAATCGGTCTGATGATGTCACTAACTATAATAGGTCTCTGTCTCTCCTCACATCCAGTGCTTCCAAGGCACTCCTGAGTCCACTTAGCCTATCCAGTCTGACTGAAAGGCGGACAATATATTTCCCTTCCATGAGTCAGTTGAGACAAAATTTCAAGCTCTCAAACTGAAACTTCTGCTAATAAGCTAAATGAAAATAGAGTCAAAAGAATAAAAATGGAGTTTAATGCATGCAGATGAAATGGTTTCGACACACTTCAGTAATGAGATGTTTACCACATGAGGGAGCTCATTCCTTGGTTAAACTGTTGGCCAGTTATTGCTTATATTGGAGGAAAACCAGTGAATAATCAGGTGAATAACTCATTCATCTCATCCTCAGTCTGTCTTCTGGAACACAAAGTACATTTCATATCACAGGGAAAAAAAACTATCATGTTCAGCCTAAATCTTTTCAGGTCAAATATCCATTTTCTATAATCATTCTTAATCATTCCAGACATTATATCTGGCCAGCCCCTTCTGAAGGGCCACAATTTGTTAATATTCCTCTAAACTGTGACCAAACTGAACAAAGATTTCCAGGTGTAGTAGGACCCATGAAGGATATACTGAAACTAGTCTTCCTCATTTTTGCACACTTTCTGCCAACATAGCCTATGCTTACGTTAGTTTCATTAGCAATTATGTTTCATAATTGCTTGTATTAAATTTCCAGTCAAGGATGCTTTTTGAGAAAGAAAAAAGCAGCCCCTGACATTCAGGAACTGGCCCGGTACTATCAGGTCAAAATTCTACAGAAAAACCTATTGCCCAGATCTTGATTTCTAATTAATATTCTCCAATAAAAGAAACCAGGTCTCTGAAGAAATGGCTGGTTCCAGGGATGGGTGGAAATACACAAGATGAGTCTGGAGCATCCTATAGAGTTCCTAATGACCAAAGTTGGAACAATTTCAGCAACAAAATAAATAATGTAGTAGTACTGGATTATAACCCAAAGTATAAATAAAAGTCTGTAAGTCCCTACTGATATAAGTAAATAATGAAAGAACAGGAATGAAGAAAGTGGAAGAGAGGGAGGGAGTGAGGATAGACAAATCTCCCAATACAAAGAATTCCAGATAATTTATGTAGATATTGCCTCCTCCAGTCAGTGGGACATAACTGCCCATTCCCTTAGGTGTGGGTTATGCTTAGTGACTTGCTTCTGAAGAATACAGTATAGAAAGAGAAGAGAAAATAACATTACAGTGGAGAAACCTGGTATATACTACTTTAGCCAAGGTTAAACATCAGTGATAACTCATGTTGATGGCATATACCCTTGATCTGAAGTACTGAGAATAATCCTTCTGAGGTCTTCATCCATAAAGTCTATAAAGTCAGTCTAACCATGAGAAATACAATCAGGCAAACCCAAATTAGATATTCTGCAACATACCTGACCAGTGCTCAAAATTGTCAAGGTCATTGAAAACATCTGCTTAGAGCCTAAGGAGACAAGATAACTCCATGTAAGGTGGTGTCCTGGATGGAATCCTGGAACAGAAAAGGGCATCAGGGAAAAACTAGTAAAATCCAAATAAAATATGAAGTATGGTTAATAATTTATCACTATTAGATCATTAGTTATGACAAACATACCATATTAATGTAAGATGTTAACAATAGGAAAAAATTGATGGAGTATACATGATTTCTCTGCACCATCCTTGCAAATTTTCTGCAAACTTAAAAGTATTCTAAAATAAAAATTTTATTTAAAGTTTAAAAAATGATCTTTTGACTCATCTAGTCAGATGATTTTGAATAGGGCAAAAGAGAAATACACATTATTCCCCACTCAACCACATTTTGATCACCATTTCTCTTTTTTTAACTTATTTTTTTTTAAGATTTTATTTATTTGACAGAGAGAGACACAGCAAGAGAGGGAACACAAGCAGGGGGAGCGGGAGAGGGAGAAGCAGGCTCCCCGCAGAGCAGGGAGCCCGATGTGGGGCTCGATCCCAGGACCCTGGGATCATGACCTGAGCCGAAGGCAGACACTTTATGACTGAGCCACCCAGGTGCCTCTTTTAACTTATATTTTGATATCATAAAACTACTTCTGAATTATTGTATTATTTCCTACTCTACCTTTGTCCCACTGCAATGACAGCTCTGTGAGTCAAGGATTATTTAGTAGCATGCTTCTAAGCTCAATGAGTTTTTGTTGAAGGAACGATGAAAAAAAATAATAAATTTTTCTATATACAAATGACTTGATTTGTACCAAAAATTGCGGGGTAGGGAGGGGATTTTTAACAGAACATGGTATCTAAGTACCAGGAAAAAGGCTTAAGATGAACTGCTCTAAAACCAGAATACCCATTTTGGCAAATGTCCTTATTTTTCCTATGTTTAATAATCCAATGTAGCCTGTAAATTCAATTAGGAGAACTAGAAACCAATTTGCAATTAACCTATTTTGGAAGGCTAACAAGTTTAATTGATTAACACTAAAAAGTTCATCATTGCTGCAATAGAAATTTTTATGACAACTATGGTGATGACAGCTGGTTGAACCATTTTTTAGGCTAAAATTATCTGGTTTTGCTTTATGCCATTGAACTTTTAAGCTTCGAAAATTTGCCCACAGGTAAAAGAGAGATAATCTCTAAGGAAAATCATGACCCTGTGCCTCCACCTGTAGGAAATTAATTAGGCAACTTCTTGTGTATCTTTCTGGTCATTTGAATAAGAGAACATAAGACCGACCCTCCAACCAGTTGATTTTATGAGCTTAGCAATCTGTCCTTAATTGGCAAGATAAAATATTTTCAGTGTGGAAATTCATTAGACTTAAAACCTCATATTATCTGCAACCAGTTACATAAAACTCAGTTATATGAAATACTGGTAAGATAAAACTTGAAAGCTATGTGATCCATTTATTCTTTAATATTGGGGATTCTTTAAAAATTGAAGCAAAAAATTAAAATTAAAAAAATATATTGGAGATTCTTAACTTGGGGTTCATGGCCCCTCCCCCAAAAATCATACACAAATGATGGACACTCTGTACATACAACTCTTGGTAAAGTGTCTATAGCTTCATCAGAATTTCAAAGTGGTCCATAACTCAAAGAATGTCAGCCCCCACTCCACCCTTTAAAGTTTATTCTTGAATCAAGTCAAACCATCAGACAGTTGCACATTTGTTGAGTATTATTTGGGGGGCTTTTAAAATTATATGTAATTGAGTTTGGCTGTGCAGGCATCAGCTTGCATTGAAGGGAATCCGACATTGCCAGGAACTTGAAAACACAGTGCTGTATACCATGGGAGCCAGTATAAAAACCTATGATTTTTATTGGTTCTTAGTCCTAGCAAAGGCTGGGCTTCTCCTAAACATGTTGTTTGGTTTTTCTTATCAACAGTGTGAATCTTGAAACTGCTCATGAGTCCTTCTTCACCTTGAGAAGTAGGAAACTCAGACCAATTTACAGCTACCCTTTTATCAAAGATAAAGGCTTTTACAACATGCATTTGAAAGTATTAATCTAAACTACAACTACATATTATTAGTTTCCTGTCTTCATTTCCCATCATCTCAATTTCCTCATCTACTTCATGTTATCCTATTGTTTGGTATATATTTTTAAAGCTTCATATCCTTTTTGGAATAAGATGTGAGATGTAAATAGGAAATATATTTAAAAAAGAAGAAAACCGAGCTTATAACTAAAGACAAAAATTCTATCAGACTTCACTTTACTAAAACAAAGTTTCTCATTACGTTTCTATTTGTTATTCTTTTTAAAAAATGAAGACAATAAAAGTGAGAACATAAAAAAAATGTTAGTCCTTAATGCATAGAAAAACACTTTAATATATAGGGTGGCTTGGTGATGAAATGCACATTTCAGAAGCCACTCAGTACACTATATCAAGATTAAATATTATTTTTTAGGACAATACTGGCATTAATTCTGGCACAGTTTTAAAGTCAACATTATGTATAAGATACCTTATAAAATTAGTTACAGCATTACTCCATTGACTGCTGTATTTAAAAATATATTGCATTTGAATTTTAAATGTTTTCTTTAAGATAAAGATGCTTTACAAAGATGCCTTCCAAATAAAAAATTGACAAGTTACCTGAAAACACGGAAATGCTAATTCAATAGCCATAAAGCATTTACACAACAACAAAAATACAACTTTCATAAATATTAAAGAATCAGAAATAACAATTTTGATAAATACTACAGGAAATATTTGAC